GCGCGAAGCCTGAGGGATTGCCCCTAGATTCGATGGACTCCTCGATTCCCGCTCTCGCCAGGACGCCTCGATCCGGTTTCCGAGAAAACCGGCACACAGTGGGTGTTGCCGGACCCAGCGCTCGTAGAATCCGCCTTGTTTAAGGGGGAAACTGCGAAGGCCCACCCATCCGAAAATGGCGGACCTTCACAGCTTCAGGGACTACTGTCGGGGGGATGAACCCCGGGAAGGCAATGGAACCCGGATCCTTTTCAAAAACAACGGGGCCAGCATTGCCCCTCAAGCCGGCACGCGCTTGGCCGGGTCGCTCGACCCTGCCAAACCCTACAACCCGACCAAACTCTCCGACCTGGCAAGACGCGTCGACTCAGCCTCAATAACTAGCACAAGACAGACGAACCCGGCATGACCAAGGCTTCCTCAACAAGCCAGCTCCACCCGTGGCATGCTCCGCAATCCAGCCACGGGTCAGCTCTCGTCCCATCCAGGCCATACGATGGGACGAGTCTCCAGCCACTGATGACCAAGGCAATAGTGCCCCGCCCATACCTCTGGTCAGCCGGAGCGTGGCAACAGTGCCCCTCACCTACCCGCTGACCAGGGTCGGCATTGCTACAGTGCCCCCGCCATCACCGCTGACGACAACAAGCGACGACCTAACGAAGCACCACTATACACGACTCAACTCGGCCATGCCCTGACAATCGACAAGATAGCGCACAGTCCCCCTAGGCATCTGGGGCCCGCACCTAGCGAACTCGGCGAACCACAGGCCCCCAGCGGGTCCCAGCCCGGGTCCCCAGACGCCGACAATCCGGACCCACCGACTTGTAACATTACCATTGTACCCCTGGGGGGGTTGGTCTATAAAACCCCCCAGGAGCCCATGCATATGGGCAAGGAAGCATAGAGAGGAACTGGCCACCGAAACAGCAACATCCACCCGGAGAGAAGGAGCAACCTAAGCCTTGGCCAGCTTTCCTTCTCCTCCGAACAGCTCTAGGAGCAACATTATACTATCGAACATCAAACTACACTCGGCAGGACTAGGGGTGTTATCTCTCTAGAGAGCCCCTAACCTGGGTATGTCTGGCGTCTCGCGCTCGCTCATACCAACCCCGCCTCTGGAGCCCACCAGTGCCCTCGAGCCTCCTCCTCTCTTTAGCCATCCCATGGGAACTGCCGTGCGCCCACCACGACAATACCCTTGACGCGCGTCTGGAGCACCGACAACTCGTCGGGCGAAGACTAGTTCAGGCCCTTCTTGGGCCAGGATGTAAGCTGCAGGGGAGCTCCGGATCGGAATTCGGGAGCTGCAACCCATTTTGTGCCGCGTGGCTCAGTGATATAGAACCACTGTTGTTGCCATCCCTTAACGGAATCATTGAAGGTACCTGATGGCCATGTGACGTTGGACATCTTGCTCACCATAGCTCCTCTGCACTCAGCGTGCTCGCCGCTCACTACCTTGGGCTTCACATTGAAAATCTTCAGCCATAAGCCGAAGTGTGACGAGATGCGGAGAAAGGCCTCGCACACGACGATGAATGTCGAGATGTTGAGGAAGAAATTGGGGGATAGAGAAAATCGATCCCATAGTAATACATAATGCCGCGAACGAATGGGTGGAGGGGAAACCCTAGCCCGCAGACAAAGTGAGGGAGGAATACAACCCTCTCGTGGGGTTCTGGAGTGGGGACGATCTGCCCCGCCATCGGGAGACGGTGGTTGATCTTCTTGGCCAGATACCCGGCCTCCCGAAGTTTCTTAATATCCTTCTCCCGGACGGTGGAGGCCATCCACTTGCCTCCCGCTCCGGACATGCTTGGAATGGCTTTGCGGAGAAGGTGAAAACTTGGGCGTTGGAGATGGATGAGCAGAGGAAGAAGAAGGCGTGGGTGAAAAGGGGGGATCCTTATCTCTTTATAAAGGCGATAGAAACCATGCGCCTCCCCACTTGCCCTGGAAACTCACTTATTCCCCAAGCGCCTTGTTGATGTCGCGGTTGGGTTACCCACACCCATATTGATGAGTATCCCGTGATAAGGGGACACGATCTCTGCTTCGACAAGACGTGCCAATGAAACCGCCTCGCAAGGTGTGCAGTAGCAGGTTGAGAAAAACGGTTCGAATAATGACCGGGCCGCGGCGTCATGCCACGCCAGGTAAAAGTTGTCAGCAGATTAGATTTGTGGAATATTGTGCTCTCTACGGTGGTATATATGTGGAATTTGTTTTGCAGAGCCGGACACGATTCTTGTGTTCAAAATCTTCTTTGGAGTATTCGGAGAAGGAACCCGCCTTGCAATGCCGAAGACAATCTGCGCACCGGACTCATCATCATTGAAGCCTGGTTCAGGGGCTACTGAGGGAGTCTAGGATTAGGGGGTCCTCGGACAGCTGGACTATATGCTCATGTCAGACTGTTGGGCTATGAAGATAGAAGATTGAAGACTTCATCCCGTGTCCGGGTGGGACTCCCCTTTGCATGGAAGGCAAGCTTGGCAATTCGGATATGTAGATTCCTTTCTCTATAACCGACTCTGTGTAACCCTAGCCCCCTCTAGTGTCTATATAAGAACAATCATAATCATAGGCTAGCTTCTAGGGTTTAGCCTCTACGATCTCGTGGTAGGTCAACTCTTGTAATACTCATATCATCAAGATCAATCAAGCAGGAAGTAGGGTATTACCTCCATAGAGAGGGCCCAAACCTGGGTAAACATTGTGTCCCCCGCCTCCTCTTACCATTAGCCTTAGACGCACAGTTCGGGACCCCCTGCCCAAGATCCGCCGGTTTTGACACCGACAATAGGACTTAACTACAGTAGTGAATGATCGTTCGGCATACCATCACAGATCCTAACATTGTAGTTGGAGCAAATCCAGCGTCACCGTTGCTTTGCTTCATGGCTGCAATTGATCTTTGCGTCAATGGTGCAATGGTTATCTAGTACTTATAAAGCCCAGTTGTTCCCAATGAACTTATGAGTCCTTTTGGAAAACAATCGTTCAGATGTGCTTGCAATGTATCGAAGTGGGGGATGTGTCCCAATTACGTCTTCACTAGAACGCCCCATACATCAAGAGTCAGTGGTCCAACCATAGTCCCTTTCCGTCGTGTGGGTTTACCTTAGTTATTAAGATAAATAAGACAAAAGCATTGGGCATTTAATGACTACACCTCATGTATTCCCAGTGATCGGATCCATGCTACCATACTAAACTTTATGTTACTTGTGTTCAAAATAGTGGTTTAGGTTCTCCCTGCCCTTAACCTCCTCGTGCCTCGAACTCCATGATCCTAGGTACCTGCAGGGATGAAGAAAATGAGAGAGATAAAAGACAACTATGATGCAATTTTATTTCACACATACATGACGTTAGTTCAAAGTCATTCCATCGACCCCTCAAACAAATACACCGGGTTGCAAGGCTATGCCTCAAACCATAACCTTACCGAATTACTCACACATGGTGAATAGATAGCAAGAAGAAATCAATGACTGAACACATCAAGATGAATGATTTATTGATAATATGTTTTACAATGGTTCTCGGGTGCGATACACGGTTACAAGTATAACTAACTTGTAGGTGGTTTGTTGCAGTGGTGAAGATGGTGGTGGCTATGGAGATGAGATGGGAAATGGAGGCAACTAGGGTTGGAGAATGGCTTCTGTTGCAGAGATGAGTTTCTAGTCAATGCTCTATTGCGAATTTGACGAAGGCCCCTTTATGATAGTTGTCAGGCTAGACCTCCTGGAGCCACAGGTGTATGGTACGAGCGCTTGTGTGCTTGTACCATATTTTGGCTTGCGCTCTAGTCCACCTCCCACTTTACATCTCGTATCTCGAGTTTACTCCTTTCCATATATATGCTTGATTTCATCCATGTTTATCCTAATTTCTCATGGAAACAAAATAAGAGAGGAATTTGGAATCATTTGCATTCATTAGCCATTAGTAGCAATATCATAGCAAATGTCTTGGCTTTTATGAAATAAATTGGTTTAAACTAGGGTGTGATCGGCATAAAAATAACAATCATCATGAACATTCTTGCATCATACACCCATGCGACCGGTCGTTCATCAACTCAATGCATATCTAAATGCTAATGCTTTTAAATCTTGAGAAGGAAAAGATTTATGCAATTTTTGCCATTTATGTATTATTTAAAATATCGTTTAAAAGAGATCAAGACAAGATCAAGACATTAATATCAACGTTTGACCTTTTACACTATCACATGGCAAGTCGAATAGTGTCCGCAGTATTACGACAAACAGTGAGATATGCTTCAATTAGATATCACTTAATGAGTCATATATGTGACATAGGTATATATATTTTTAGTGAGGTATATATTACTAATACATAAAAAATACATTCATTGTGCACCGAAAGTGCATAGACATATCACTTCTAATTAAATGCATCTATGAATGATAGAATTTTTGGTGCTCTAATGAAGGCAGTAGCGATCCACTATGTGAGTAGTCCACTATAAGAATAGGGGCCACGTCTGTTGATATGCATGCACTAGGTTAAAGAACCTACATCTATACTGCACACCATGAATGTACAAGCTAACCACTACTCTCAAGATGGAAATTGACTTACCATGTGTTAGCAACAACCCTGTCACACTATTATACCAAGACATACTGGTTAATCATTTTCCAGAACATGTTGCTCATTACACTTATTAATTGCACAAGAGTTATGTTTTGATTGTTATTACCAGATATAAAACTGTGAGTCTCGGTACGTCATAAATTGGATACGATATTTCATGTAATGGGTATTTTTGACTAGCATTTATAGTCTAATTAAGCATGCTTTACCACTACAAGAAGATTTGCTATATGGTGATGCTATAAGTATCATGCCCCGCCTCCTCAGCCTCTGCATTCAGACACTCTTTCGGTTTGATACGTCTCATAGTTGTATCCAAATCTCAATAGTTTTCCCTCAAATAACCTCAACTTTCAACCATGAATCCAAGAGTCAACCAGGAGTGGACCCCCTCTGAGGTAGAGGGGGATAGATCAATCATCGATGGGCTCAACAACAACTACTACAATGATGGCACCAGCCATGGTAAGAACAAGAAGCATGAGATCATGGACAAGCTCTAAACATGGTTCCCTAGGAAGAGCATGCAACAGGTAACAAACTTGTATGTTGATTTTGGTGCAGAGATGCATATGTTGCAGTGTCCAGAGAAGGAGTGCCATGTTACCAATAGTGACCATGGTGTCAATTACACCGTGGATGGCCCAGTGAGTAAATACTTTGGATTGCAAGAGGAGGCCGCAATGGAAGGAACGGACTTTTTGTTTGGTTGTCCATTAGATATTAGGAAAACCATAGATAGTCAAGAGGAGGTGCCGATGGTGGAGCAGAATAAGGTGGTGTTGGAGAATAAGACGTTCATCCACCAACCAGTGCTTGCACCACACGCCAAGGGGTTTTGGACCCCTGATGAGCACAGGTTATTCATGTTTCATCCTAATTTTCCATGAGACTTTTAATATTTTCATTCATTTTGATTATTCGCTTGGAGATGTCGGGTGTGTTTTAAAAGAAAGCATATTAACTAAGCATTATGTGGATTTTCATTCTCGTGAGACGGGAGGTTTGTTTTTTATTTACACTGTACTCATAGTGCCTATTTGACATTTACCAGAAGCAATAATACCAAGATGTATATATTTTGTTTGGGAACATCCAAGTTTATTTCATTCTAGTGCTTCCATTAATAAGTGAATACCACTGACACTTGCCCTTACAACCAAAAGTGATGAAGTTATGATTGCGAGTATTATCATGGGCTATTTATATCTATTATCAATATGACCATGGTAATTTCGAAATTGCTTATTCGTCTTTAATCATCTGATGTCACATCTTATACAATAGCACCATAAAAGATAAAAACAGACATCATTGAAATGATTAGCATGAGGGCTAATGTTTGGTTAAAGTTTTAATTCTCCAACTATTGCATTTTTATTTTTTTACCGATATATTAAATAATCAATGTGTCCTTGGTCAAGAATATAACCTAACTATTCATCTTAAACATGTTTCCTGTTTATTCTAGGCTCTTTCTCCATGGCTTGAGCGTATGTGGCCGTGGCAAATGGAAGGACATCTCAAAGCACTTCGTCACTAGTAGGACTCCGACCCAGATTTCAAGTCATGCACAGAAGTACTTCATGAGGCTAAAGAGCAAAGGGTCAGGAAGCCAACGCTACAGCATCAACGACGTGGAGCTCGATGATGCTAACCCATGGAAAATGGAGAATAGCTTTAACTTCTGGCAAGCACTTGCCTTGCAATCTACAATTGGTGCTGATAACCAAAATCCAAGCTTCAATCTACAGACTCCTTCGAGTCCATTTGTCACCATGAACAATATACCCTAGTTTGGAGATGTTGTTGAAGAAATGGAGATAGTATTCAGTATGATGAGAGAATCCTATGATGTTGTCGTCACAATAGGGGCCAGTGAACTTTGTTCCTACTATTATTTACTTTAAGTTCCTTAAAACCATTGTATGGATACCATTTATAAGATGTTGTGATTTAAGTTATATTTGCATATGCTTTTGGAGAGTCGATAAATTTTGTATTACTATTTAGAGAAAATACTTTTTTTTACCCTCAACTATTAAAAAAAGTCTAGATTTGGTGCCTCGAATATAAAACCATAGAATTTGCAGCTTAAACTCTTCAAACCAAACTAGTTTGGGCCGCTCAGCGGGACTAAAGTAGTTTCTTAGATGATGTGGCATGGTTTTCACTGGGCGTGTCCATGTGGAAATATATCTACTTCTCCACGGCGTGGTCATTTTGTCAAACACTTGCGTGCGTTGTTTGTTGTTGCCTGCGGCCCATCACGTCCGCCTTGATACAATGTTGCAGGTCTGTCTCTTTTGGCTTAATCTCTTTCCTCCACCTCGCGACAAAGATCTCACGTGGCGTGGATTACAGACGGCTGACTAGATACCAATGTACATGTCCTCAGTGCGGCAACCAGCAACGTTACAACCAGCCTCGGGTTTATCATACAACACAAAAGAAAGCATAGAAGAGCTCGCGTCGCTCCCGGGGGGGCGGCTCGGGCGTACCCTTGCCGCCGCTACCCCCGCGGCCCTCTCCTCCCTTGCTCCTCCCGTCGCCGTCGGAGGATGCTGACGGGCAAAGCCCGTTAGGCGGACGGCGGCGGCGGGGGGCCCTCGTCGCGCGCCGCGTGGCTTCCGCCCCGGTCGGAGGCACGCATCTGGCGGCGGCCGCGTCTCGTCGGCGCGAGCAAGCCGGGGCGGCGGCCCCGGGCATGGTGGCAGCGTTGCTCCCCCCTTCCTCGGCTGGATGGCGTGCGGGGCGGCGCTGAGGCCGGCCGTCGTCGATCTGGCACCCGGCGCCCAGATCTGTCGGTGCAGGCGCTCTGGCGTGCTGCGACGGCGACGCTCCGGCGGGCTGTGGCTGTTTGGCGCGCTGGGTGCCTGGGGTCCCCTCCCTCGGCCGGGGGAGCTGCGGTGATGGCGGCGAGCCGCAGCTTTTGGATGGCGGCGCGGCGGCGCCGCGACGGTGGAGGTTTCTTCTGTTGGTGAGCTGCGGCGGTGGCGGTGAGCCGCAGTTTTTGGGCGGCGACGCGGCGGCGCTGTGATGGTGGTCGTGGAGATCGGTCTCTAGCCACCGGAGTGGTGTACTCTTCTACTGCTCTGGCCGTGTGTGCAATGGAGCAGCAGTTTGGGCTGGAGGTGGCCGGGGGTGCGCAGATCTGGCAAGGCGTTTTGCTGCGGCGTGTTGAGGGCTGGTGGTTGGCAACGATGCACTCTGCGCAGCTTGCTGTGTTCCTATGTCATTGGCTTCCTCGTGAGGCTCGGCAGTGGAGTAGATTCTCCGGGCGAAAGTCTTGCACCTTCTCCGGTCGGTGCCGATGTTGGCGATGTTCTTGAGCATTGCATTCCTTCCTGAAGGCACATCGCGGAGCTACGTCCATCTACTGCCGCAACTGTCTGGTGTTTCCGGGTGAAAACCCAAGCTCCATTGGAGCGGGCGGCGGCGGCAATTATGTCGTTACCTTCTTGGAGGCACCGCCTTGGAAGCAATGACCTTTGTGGAGTGGTGGTCTCATGGCAGTGGTGCAGAGCTGCGTCACCGTCGGGGTGATGGAGGCCGGGGCGGCGGCTCTGGACGGTGGATGTACGCCGAGGCGGCGGCCTCGGATAGCGATGCAACGGTGCCTCTATGGGGTAGAGTCGCGGTTGTGCATTGTTTTGGTGGCGGCTTGGTGCTGCGTGGGTAGCAAGGTCGTCGGCCTGGTCGATGCGCCCTAGAGGGGGCGGTCTGACTTTACGTCGGGGCGGCGGCCCCGGATGTGGTGCGACATTCGTGGTCTGCGAGCGGTTGCCCTGAGCAGCGTGGGCTGCGGGCAGCCGGGTTGCGCGGCGTTGCTGCTCAAGGGGAGTGGTGGTATGTCGGGGCGGCGGCCCCGGAAGGCGGTGCTGGTTGATTGCGCTGGGCGCGAGGGAGCGGTGGATGTCGGGGCGGCGGCCCCGAGAGAATCACTGTGGCGGCCAGACTTCTGTGGCAACGATGATGGTGGGAGCGATGTCGGCGACGCGGCAATCGTTGCGATAGTCGGCTCTTCTCCGGCGTGTCCACGGTATTGCCTCGGTTTGTTTGTTGCTGTGGAGTCGAAGCTGCGGCGGCGGGGCCCTGTGGTGTACGATGGCTGGCTGCAGGTGGCCCTTTCGGCGATCTTCCGTGGCGCCAGCCGAGCCTGATTTCGTTCTTCTGAGTTCTCCGTCAGAGTCGGAATTGCGTTGTCTGGCCGCAGGTCGGCATGTTGTCGATAAGGGTGGGCTTTGCCCTGTGTGTTTCAGTCTATGGGAATGGGCTTGGCCCTTGTTGTTCCGGTTTTTGCCCGGTTTTCCGTAATTAACTGGGCAATTCTCTTCTGCTTATTTAATAGATGAGGCAATCTTTGCCTCCGTTTCGAAAAAAAAAACCAGCCTCAGAAATCAAAGGTATCAATTCGTGAAGGCACAAGGGACCAGCAACAGATGTATGTCCTGTAACACAAATAAAATCTCACTTGTGTCCCCAACAATTCAAACAAAGATGCCAATCTGTGCTGGTATTGCTAGTTGAAAAAACCCATTAAAAGATAACGTGTGATAAATATTTTTGTATCTTTGAAATGAAACAAAACTGAAAATAAAACATTGTATAAATGTTGTTGGAAGGTGATTCTTATGATGAAACTGAACCGGGGTTTCATAGGTTCATCAAATGCAACTCCCCAATGCATAAAAAATACAGATGGCTGGAACCACATAGGGCATGGGTTGGCTGCGACGATAAAGACAAATATTTATTCTATGAGGCGACAACGATCACTATTGGGGATGGCACGAAGGCCAGTTTCTGGCACTCTCTCTGGCTTTCTGGCCAAAAGCCAAGGGACATCGCCCCGGGCATCTTTGCCTCTTCAAACGGGACACGGCTCCTCTCCCGTGCGCTAGGTGACGTTGGGCCGCTGACATGTGGGCCAGGTTTCCCACAGGTCCACATGTCAGTGGTAGAACGGCAGACTGCCGAACGGTAGAGGATCCTCATGCCTCCAAACGAACAAATTCATGTGCTACTAAGGCAATGGCAAATAATGATTGGATTTGCCACATCGACATGCAAGGGGGACTCTCGGTTGAGCTCATTCAACAATATTTTGACCTATGGTGCAAAACCCACGAGATCACCATGCAATGAGGATACCATTCATTGGAAATTCACTGTCGTCGGTTGTTACTCTGCCGCCACTGCCTACTGTATGCAGTTTGTCGGTTTGCTAAACTCCGAGATGCCAAGTTTGGTTTGAAAGATTTGAGCGCCTCCTAAGATTAAATTCTTCTCTTGGCTTGTCCTTCAAGATAGGATCTGGACTTCTGACAGACTGCTTCGTCAGAGGGTGGCCAAACTGCGGCCTTTGTCAGCTATACAAAAGGGAACCGAAATCTACACCTCATCTCATGTTCAAATGCCGCTACACCATCAGAGTCTGGAATATGATTTATGACTGGCTAGGGAGGCAATCGGAGACACCTTCATGGGGTGGCCTGTTGACCGTCAAACAATGGTGGTCCGCTAGCGAGGGTCATCCTGGCTACTCCGGAAAGGTGACCAACTCGTTGCAAATGCTCGCTTGTTGGGAGATTTGGAACGAGCAAAACGCCCCGGGTTTACCGCAACAAGGCCTCCCTGCCCATGAGAGTGGCGGGGACAATCAAGGAAGAGGCCAAGACTTGGGTTCTAGCAAGGGCTAGATTCTTGGGCAACTTAATTCCGGGAGAGTGAAGCCGTTTGTTTCGGGCCTGTGTGGCCATGTAACATTGGAACCTTGTCGTACTTCTTCTTAATTAATGAGATGAGGCAAAGCTTTTGCCTCCGTTTCAAATAAAGTACAAAAAAGTATACTTTTGGTTTCTCAACTCTTGGCGCAGGCTAGATTTGGTCCCTCGACTCCGAAATCGGACAACTTACACCCTCAGCTATTGAAACCGGAAAAGATTCATCCGTGGACTTGGTTTTGACCGATTTTGGTGCTGGCTCACCCTGTTTTTTACTGTGCTCACTCAAATTCGCATACTTTTTTCAAATCCATGGATATTATGAAATTTGCATATATTTTTTCAAATTTGTGTATTTTTTCCAAATTCTTGTATTTTTTTCAAATCCATGTACTATTTTCAAATTCACATACTTTTCCCAAATTCTTTAACTTTCTTGAAATTCATTTAATTTTTTCAAATCCACGTACCTTTTCCATGTCCACCTAATTTTTCCAAATTGCTGTAGTTTTTTCCAAATTCATTTACCTTTTCAAATCCATGAACTTTGCTGATATTTGCGTACTTTTTAAACTCCATGAACTTTTCTGAAATTCGTATACTTTTTTCAAATCCATGTACTTCTTGCAAATTTGCATAATCTTTCTGAATTCACATACTTATTTGAAAAAAAATCATAAACTTGAAAAATTGCGCTGATCTGAAAAAAGAATGTGAATTTGACAAAGTACGCGGATTTGAAAAAATTACTCAAACATGAAAAGGTACATGAATTTGATAAAGAATACACAAACTTGAAAAATTACGCGGATTTGAAATAGTATGTGAATTTCAAATAGGTTTACAGATTTAAAAATGTACACGGATTTGAAAAAAAAAATACAAACTTGAAAAGCAGTATGTGGATTTGAAAAATGTACGGGAATTTAGAAAACATGAATTTAAGAAAACACGGATTTAAAAGAAGTGCACGAATTTGAGTCAGCGCCAATCAAGACTAGGGTGAGTCAAACAGCAAAACCAGTAAAAACCGAGACCAGGGACGAACCTTGTACGGTTTCAGTAGTTGA